CTGTGGGACCGAAGGACGGCGGCGAAGAACAGCCTGGCGACGTTCCTGGAGAGCCCAGCGGAGGCCGGAGAGCCCGGGGCAGGCTGAGGGAATGCCCTGAGCCCCCGCCATCGAGGCACTGCCCCGGGCGAGGGCCAGCCCAGCGCTGCGTCTGAACTTAACAAAACTCCCATACAAATCCCACGTTACCTGTTTAAAAGGCACAGAACGACAAGGCATAGAGCTAGCGACAGTTTCTGTTAACCTGGGGGGGGGCGAGGGGGGAGAAGCAGAGACGCAGAAAGTTTATGAGGGAAAATATGTATAAAAATTACATTTTTATAGCTTTCTGCAGTGATCATTGTCAATCTGAAAAAGGAGTTTGGAAGACCTAGGCAAGCAGCCTGCTGTTCATTACCACAAACCATTAAACTGAGGTACGGGAGCTAAACTGAACACACAGCTGTCAAAATTAAAAGTAGAACTCAGGTGGTGACTCGGGGAAGCCTTCCTACCTGCACTGTGCAAGCATTTAATTATTTTTAAAATAACAGATACAGGTATCAAAGAAGTGAAAAGTGCATGGCAATAGCAATATGTTTGCAAAGAAACAAACTCACCTTTGCACTTATACCACCAAGGTACGCTGTGACCTTGAGACAAAGTCCCAAAGCAGCATCTCGAGTGCTGCACATCAGCCAGGTACTTCATTGTCAGCACAGTGACCAAAAAGTCCTTAACATTGTTCTCCTTGCAAATGGCTTAAAACACATAGTGAAGTAAATTTATATTTTCTTTCCTCAGCAGGGTGAAGCAATCTCAGCCCATCCACTGATATCAGATCACCACACCTTACAGAGCCTCAGAGGATTTCAGCACATTCTGATGATCCTTTGTGCCTTCCACACACAGCCCAGAGGTTTGGCCATGCCATGGTCCAAGGTCTAGTTTGAAGCAGCATTGCTGTGTGACCCTGTGTGAGTTTGACTGAGGAAAATCAGAAAGTACATGAGTTAAAGCCATGAAATTAAGCTGAAGTCACAGAATTGCTGTTCATGGGATAACAATAGTTAGCTGGTAAAAGATTCAAGTGAAAAGATAAAGAAGGAAAAAGGAAAAAAAGGCAGAAAACATGATGATAATTCAGTAATGCTGAGGATGAGCTCATACCAATAAATGTCAGAGACCAACTTTCCCCAGCGTATTGGAAACTTCCTGGCCAGCTAAAACTCATCAGTTTTCTTATCAGGAGTGGTGAGCATATTGCTGTTCAGCCTAGTAATCTCTTAATGCTAGCTATCCTATTTTGCATATTAGCTGATAAATAGCTACTTCAATTATGTGTATCCTGCTTGCAGAGTCTCTTTGTGCTGGTAAATGACACCTGAACAAAAGCAGCCTGTTGGGTGTGAGTTGCATGTTCTCCTGCTGAAGTACTTTCTCCCTATTATAAACAAAAATAAAGTTAAAAAACGTGTCCATACACAGCCATCAGTTCTTGCTAATACTGCAGGAAGACCAGAACTGAAATTGCAACAGCCACACAACAGCTTGGCTACATTGAACTTATATACAGTGGATATTTTTTCCATTATTGCTAAACACTGGGTATAGACCAGTGGATTCAAATCCAGAAGAACTAATATAAACAAGGCAGTGACATAAAATATATAAAACTTTCTATCAAAAAACACACACTGGCACAGATTGCCCAGAGAAGCTGTGGATGCTCCATCCCTGGAAGTGTTCAGGGCCAGGTTGGACAGGGCTTGGAGCAACTTGGGATAGTGGAAGGTGTCCCTGCCCATGGCAGGGGACTTGATACTAGGTGATCTTTAAGATTCCTTCCAACCCAGAGCATTCTATAATTCAGGGGGAGGAGAAAGTAAGTGAAATTGTAAATATATTTTTCCATTTACTGTTTCTACAGATTTTGTTACAGAAGAGGCCCCTGTCCACAGGGAACAGTGAGCTTTACACTGAAATGTTTGTCTCCTTTCTTTTTGTGACATTGCATTCCATCTACCTGAAGACCTGCTTCAGTCTTTCCTGAGGATCATTTCTTTTTATTAGAATGGAAAAGAAATATAGAGTGTTAGATCCTGAAATTTCTATTTCCAGTCCCATTATAGTTTAGTGTTAAATAGCATAACAGCTTGATTTCTTCCTCCTCTCATTAAGTGTTGAATAGCTGAGATAAAAACTGGAATATATTAAACACTTCCACTTAACAGTTTAAATCACTGGTCAGCGCCTGCCAATAACAAGAAATAAAAAACCTACACGTAAGTAATAATAAAAGAGATAAAAATTAAAGAGCCGTTTCTAAATGAAGGGCCATATTCTGTTCTTGTTGCCATCTGCTAAAAAGCTACTGGAGCAGTGTGCTGGCAGTTCTGCACTGTGGTCAGAATTCATTTGCAGAAAAAAATATTTTTCTCTTACTCAGCAGTTCAAATAAGTTTTAAATGTATCAGACAAGTGTACAGAAAAATATTCAAGGTGATAACCAAGACTTTCATAGTTGAGTTGGTTCCATTTCTTCTTTACCTCAAGATGAGGGCCATGCCAATCACATCTGTGTGTAGCAAGAACAACAACTACCAGTGTTTAGCTGAGTCAGCTGCATCTGACTTGCCTTCAGATATCAAGGGCTTGGATTCTTAATTATGGATGGGGAGATTAATTTGCACAGACCTCAGATATCCAGTGACCCTCAAATCCATTGTTATAGGCACATACACACATGGGAGTGCTAATTTTAAAGCTACAATCATACTTGAACAGAAATTTCGAGAGTAGCTTAGACTTCAGCTGAAGAAATGTTAGAGGAAAGAAAAGGTTTAATTTCTGAATAAAATTCTGAGTAGAACCAAGGCCTAACCTGAATTTTTAAATTCTTTTTTGAACTATGTGGCACTCCAAGTACACAAAGCACATGCACACAAAGCTTGGGAACATGAGCGATCGATTAAATCAGTGCAAAAATTAACTTTGGTGTGCTCTGTCAAATTCAATAATTCCATCAAAGTACTTTTACCACTGGCATGCCTCCCACATTTGCACAAGTACATACCAACACTGGAAATGTCTTGGAATCTTTCCTACCAAAGCAGCAAAGCTCTGCTTATGGAAAAGGACTAACTTAACTATTGAAGACAATACTTTCCCCAAAAATATTTCTGTCAGCTTCTTCTTAAAGGCTTGGTGATATAATCTTTGTTGCTTTGTATTTTTTCTACTCCCTTTTGCCAGCTGTAAAAACTTTGAACACTAGTACTACATTCCAAACAGATTGTATCAGTTGTTTCAGAGTGCATGGAACTAATAGACTTACATCTACCTTCTGGAAGAATATCTAATGAAATACCTAATATTTTATAGCATTCAAGCAATACCTTTCATATATATTTACATATATATATATATATATATATGATTGTATGTGTGTATAAAGCAGCTATAATGTCCCAAAGAAACCACAGTTTCTCATTGAGGAAATTAATTAAGCAACTATAGACCTTAAATCTTGCTTTATTCCTTAGAAATTCACTAGACCACCTGTACTTAGATTTTTTTTTAAAATAGCAGAAATCAGAAATAACTCTAAGAAGACTCATTACTCTGTTCAATGTCATAGGGAGCGTTTTACTGACTGGTCAAGGAGAAAAATTAATTTATAAGAATCTTGATTGACATAGGAGTATGAAGGACTGTGGGATTTTAGATGTAATTCACTGCTGCCAGTGGCAGAGTTTGTCTTATTTGGAGCTGCAGAGAGCTCTGTTTCCTGCATTAGCTACTCCTTCAGCCCCAGCAGCCAGCAGAAGTTAGTTTTGCAAGTTGTACTAACCAAGGGAAGGAATGGATGATGGAATCAGAGAATCTCTGAAATAAAGAGAATCCACAAATCTCTTTGTGTCTCAGCACAGGAGGATTTAAATGACAGACACAGGTCATGGCTCCAAACCTCATTCAGCCACACCCAACCCCAGAGATTTCTTCAGAGATTATTTTTTCCCTAAGGTCTCACAATTACCAGCTCTCTTGAGATGATATAGTGGCTTTCTATTCTTAGCATATTTCTCCCTCCCTCCCTCCCTCTTTCTCTCTCTCTCTCTCACACACACATACACACACACACACACTTCCTACTCAAAACAAGACCCAGTGAAACCCTCTGCCCACATAGTTATAATTCCCAAGAGAACTTGCATATGCTTTTGTTTTGGGCAGTGACAATGTGCATATGTTTTGATTTCAGGCCCCCCCCATTGGTTCTCAGGCTCCAGTTTAATGAAGACAGACCAGCTCTTAAACTCACCAGTTTCAGCAAGATACAACCCAGCTTCTAGAGTTCCTCTGACCTTGCAAGTTGGAGTGAGATTTTTTAACATGTTGCCTGTTAAAGGATATTACTGAGTAAGTGTTTTGGTTTAGCAAATACACACATTTTCCTATTGGTGTTTGGTTTGAAAAGTGTACAGTGCTTTGTCTCCTTTATAACAAGCCTGAGATAGGAATCAAGAGTAGTAAATGACATAACTGCTATGAAGAGGAATAGCAAAGTTAGCCCTGAGTTTAAGTCAGTAAGAGAATGTCTAAGAACAGGAAAAATGAACAAGATAAGGTTTTGTAGTTAAGTCGCTCCTCATAATTAAAGTGAATTACAGCTGATACCCACAGAGATATAATAAAACTGATTCAATTAATTTTCTGTTTACTTGCACATAAACAGGTGGTGAAAAATGTTGCTGGATATTTTTCAAGAAGTTTCTCTAAGCCTTTCCTGTTCTTCTAAATCCTATTACATGCCTGGAAAAAGGAGTAGAAGTTTGGGGCAGTCCCAGTCAGACAGCTGGGCAGTCAGACTTCTATCTTTAATAGAGACGTAATAATTTTTGCTTTAAAAGCTACATGAGTCACGAATCATCCCTGTCATGTGAATCCACATGCATCACAGTTGGAAGAAAAAAGGTGCTCTAAATGAAGTCTGCCACAGATACCTGAATTCTAACACTGTTTGGAACTGAAAGACAACGGGATTTCACCTTCTGGAGCAGAGATTTCATGGATTCCAATTCCAACACCGTGGTGGTAACTGGTGAGGTTTTTATTTTGTTCTTTGAGCTGGAGATGGTATGCACGCATGCTTGGTCTTTGTCATAAACAGTTTCCTGGAGGGAAAAACAGTAGCAAATGGTCATACTAACATTTCTAAATGGAAAATAACTTACTGTGCCTTCCTAAGAAAAATCAGATGCATGTCAGAGGAAACAGACTGCAGTCTGCCCTCTTTACTGCCATCCAGTTTGGTTTGTTGTTCATTCTCTCCATGTTTTAATCTTTGTTGACATTCTCTCTGATCCAAACCACATAGCTCAAGGCAGTGCAGGCTAGGATTAGATAAAGCTTACCCAAAAGGAGCTCTGAAGCAAGAAAACCAGGTTGCATCACAATGTCACATAGTCAGCGTCCAGAATTAGAGCAACACATGGCAAGTCTCAGGGGCTCAGTTTCATGGCAAGGTAAGGGAGTTTTAAACAGGAGATGCTGCCTCATCATTGCTAAACTAGACCATTAAATTTAAATATACCAAAGGAACATGCCTGAACATGCAGCACAAGGGACCAAATTTGGAGTTTCTCTTGCTGGCTGTAGCTACTGAGGCTTCACAGTGGCAGAACCCCCAGCTAGAGAGTCCTGAGCTTTAAAAGGTTAAAGCTCTTAAGGAATGCTGCTCCTCGCTGTTCCTCTTGTTGCCACTGGCTCATCTAAAGGCAATCATTACACATATCTTGACATGTGAGTTGCTGGATAATTTTCCACTGCAGGTCATCTGAGGACATAGGAATGAGGTTGAAGCTACATCAAAGAGATTTGCATCTTGCTGTTTTCAATTAAACACTTTTTTTTTAAATAGCTGCAAGATGGGCAGAACTAGTCTGGCTTGCTCCAGACATAACTGCAGCTGAGCTGGATGGAGTGCAGGAGAGGGCAGGAGGTATTAGCTAACCTCTTAAAAGGCTGACAGTCTGGTTCTCTCCTATGATATTTATGGCACATACCCTTGTTAGGAACACTTCTTAGCACCCTCTTAGATTTTTCCTCCCCTTACATCACCATTTATGTGCAGAAATCTACTTGTTCAAGAAGTTTGAGACTGGTGTGCCCTGTTAAAGACACAAGTGCATCTTAAAGCTACTGCAGAGATTATCACAGCATGTCTCTGTCACATTTTCACCTGCTCAGAATATAAACCTGCTGGCAGGGAGCCCAGTTTATTATATGGTGCTCAATAACATTCAGCCAGTTAGTTCTCCACATTGCTGCAGGTATTGCAGTAAAACTCCTACATTTAGTCATTTTTCATGGAATAATTTTGTCCTAAGCACAAGTTTCTTACAGCCACCACTGACACACATGTGTTTCATTGGGAGCTGATTAATAACTCTATTATAATTCTGTAGTTCTGCACAGACAGGTACAGAAGCATGTACAACAACTACAGCTCCAAAATGGAGCAGGTGTCACCCTAATTTTGCTCCCAAAGCAGAGTGGGACCAGTGGGGTTTTATGTTCCCCTGACAATGTGAAATGAGCACCATTTCACTTCTTCCCTCCCCATGGTAGAAACTCAAACCTTGTCAGAAATATTAGCACCATCAAGCTTTTCAAAATACTAAAGAGAAAAGATGGAGCAGTTATGAAATAAGCATTAACAAATTAAGAAATGCTTAAAGTCTAGCACTAATTAAGCTGTCACAAGCCTGTATTTAGGCTTAATTGTCTCCAATGCAAGTAGCTTTCACTGTGCAAAATAGCAATCATATGCTGTCAAGTATTTATTTGCCCATTTAAGGATTTTTAAATATTTAAGAGTTATAGCATAAAAACCATTTCACAAATTCCTGTTCCTGCCACCCAGTATGTAAGACTTGACGGCGCTCTGGATTGAGAATATTAATTGGGATTAATAAAGATAGTGGGAGTTTTCCATCAAACTTTTTAATGACAAAAATGCCATCTGCTCAAAATGAGTTTTTATTTCCCTTGTATTGAAAAAAAATAAAATGACTTTCACAAAAAAGATCCATAAAATTGAATGTAATACTTTGGATTAAAGTGTGCTTTTCCCTTTTCGCCTTTCTTTACCTTTGGGTAAAAAGTGAAGAAAGAGACAGAAAACTTTCAAGTTTTCACTACCTGAGATTAAAACAAAATTACAAATTAAATAAAATTTTACTTTTTCAAACATTTTCATTAAATATGCATATCTTCATCATTATGAGCTCTAACAATAAGAATGATACATTAACTCTGACCTGGGAGTATTTAACACCAGAACCTTCAGTAGTGGTATTTCTGGGGATGATGATCCTTGCCCAAAATCATCATTTACTTGATCTGTCCTATCAGTTCCAGTACATTTACCAGCTTTAGTTAAGGCTCTCTCACAAGAAAGCCTTGACATGAATGAAGATTGCAGGATTAGTTCTTTTATCAGTGAATACACAGAATGAAAATACTATTCCCTTAAGTGTTATAAAGGCTAAATCCTACCTGAAAAACTCAACCTCCATAACCAAAAATATGAAGATAAAGAACAAATATGTGTGTGCAGGCAAGTCAGCCCCTTATCTGCAATTGCACAGCAAGTAGAGGTTAAAAGCACCTTTCTTTCTTTTCATTTGCAGGTTTTGGTCCCTTCAGACAATACCTGGTTAATTCCAGCTGGGAGGCAGTGAAGGTAAGCATAATAAAAAAGGGGAAAAAAAGGAGGGAGACATTTTATTTTGTAGAGATCCAAACACAAACTGCTTTTAGGCTTTCCATTCCCTTCAAAAAAGTTATTTCTCATGACTCATTAAACAGAATTGTGCCTCATGGAGCAGACTCCCAACATGGAAGAAAGGGGATAATGAAAAAGTGAAACGTTATTTTATTTGCATGATATTTTTTGTGCTATTTAAGCACTTTCAAAATATTATTCTTGATTCTTAAAAAAGGTATGTTTTACCCAGGGTGCCTTCTCTGCAACTAATGCATATTGCACGAGTTCTCTCTGTCTGCAGTAAATAGATCATCTCACACCATGGATCATTTTATCATGTCTGTGTGAGGTGATTTCCTTCTCATACAAGTGCAGCTTATGAGTTCTGACTGCCTGCTTCAGGAACACAAAAATCTGTGCCAATTCTAAGTATGTTTTCACGTTTCAGCTTTGGCTTCCACTTTCAAATGACAGTGAAGTCTACAGTTAAATTGAAAACAAGGTAATTCAGATTTTTTTTCCTCCTCTATACACCTTGACTAGCACAAACAAGTCTAAGGTGGAGCCTTAAAAATTCCTGCTTATTTTCTAAATCTGTGTATTAGAGCAAATTTATCTGGGGGATAAAAAGACATGGTTTGGATACGTGGCCTTCAGCATCAGCTGATTCATTCTCCCTATCACAGATAAAAACCTTCCTTGAGTTCAGTTACTCTCATAAGGTACTTAGGAACAGAGTTATTTTGAGAGGGTCTTTCATACAAGTTTTTAGCAATCCCAAGGTAGAAAGAAAGTCACACAGTGAAATCTGAAACTACTTGGGGAACAATCAAAATAGTAAAATTGAATTAGAGCTTTGGTCCAAGAAATAACAGATAATACTGGTAAAAATGGAAAGCAAGACATGTAAAACAAACTGAGGGGACTAAGTTCTTTTATGAAGACTGAAGTAAGTCCATACATTTTTAAATTCTTATGGACACTGAAAGGAAAAAGGCAGCTATAGGAAAGTATTAGTAGTGACAGAAAGGCAATGGCCCTACGGGACTATAACCACAATACAAATTTCAGTGACAGCTACTGAAGATCTGATTTGAAAATGAAATGCATTCCAGCCAAGATGACTGAAAAACAAGGAGCTGGTGCATTTTTCCACAGACCAAAGCTATAGCAACTCCACCAACACATACACATTTTCTATTTCAGATTTGTTGGGCGAGTGCATCTTGGTGTTTGGTAGAATAAATCTATTGCCCCCTCCAAATCATGAGGGATGTTATCCCTGTAGGCTAACAGGAAACAAAAATACTTCTGTGATACCTTTCCACACCCCAGTCATTACAGGAGGCCCATAAATTATCTAAACTCCAACCTGACATGGGCCCTAAACCACAAATATTTGTCAGTTGACAGTGTTCTTACTCATTATTTCCTGATTCCTATTGGTTCTAATTTTGGGTGGAAGATCATCCTATTCTGGCTGAAAATAAAGCACGTTCTTTATCTTCAAGCAGAACAGCCCAAAGCGAGAAGGCACCAATGGGATGAGTTTCCTGTCCCAATGCCATGAGCTGGCTACAACAGGGACTTACATAACAGGGGCTACAGCATTCCATAACCAAACAGCTGTCAGTCCTTGTGTATGGAGGAGAACAAATCCATTTCTCTCTGATGTGACACCCTCGGTGTGGAATTAATTTGTATTCAGACTGGGGATGCTGCTTTGGTTTCCTGTGCCCTGGCAAAGGTGGTAAATTCAGGCAATTCAGAGAAATTTGCTGCAAATCTGGAAGTACTTTGAATTTTGATAGGCTTCTCCACGCTAAATAGCAATCTCATGGTATTGTTCCATTGGCCTTATTCACAGGAGTAGCTCTATGGTCTTCAGGAAGCTTATGCACATATATTAAAGATGGCAAAATTTAGGATTTACATCTGGAAGTAATCCTGTCTTGGCTTGGGGTGCCTGCATGGATCACTGAAGTGACATAAAACCCTCCTGCTGAGTCCCTTTGCTGTGAACCAACAAGTGTGCACTCAGATTCCTCCTCAGGAACGTGCTGAGCAGCCAGACCAGAGCTACAAACGTGACTGCTCAGGCTTATGCTTAATGCCTTTGTAGCATTACCCAGAACTATCCTAATTATTAGCGCAGTATGAAGTGGGTGCTTATCAAAAGCCTGGATACCTTATGAAAGCCTGGATACCGCAGCAGCCTTGGTGATGTTGAAATGCTGATGCATGCAATCTCCAAAGTTCACATCCCAGAAGGGTCCTCATACCAAAAGCATCTGAAATCCTGTAAAAATACATTTAACAGTTCCAGTGTCCTAATTCCAAAGCATAACCTCACCCTCCATGCTTTTGAAATGGATTCTTTGCCAAAGAGCAATGGCTTCCCTTCTGTGAGCAATACTGGCTGTTACACACAGCTGCTTCCTTAAAATCCCTGTTACAGCTCCTCCCTAAGATCCTGCTGATGGGATCACCCGTTTTCCTGAACCTCCCTTCTTGCTGTGGGGAGGATCAGAGATTGATCCAGTGAGCACACAGCCTATTCCAATAGTTGCATCCCTTCTATGCCCACCAAGGTCAAACTCCCCAGTTAATAGGGCACAAATGTAAGCTGAGTGACAACATTCACAGTAATTAAACTGTTAGTGCAAAGAACAGGTCACATTTCCAACTGCTTCTGGGAACTATGTCTGCCATCGGGAGATGAGGATCAGATCTCCCAGTGCAGTTTTTCATCCTGCCACTGACCATGTGGTCTTTGGAAATTTGTCATTTAATCTCTGTCTCTCTCCCTCTCTGGTTCAGTTTCATCATCTGTGAAACTAAGAAGACATTGCTATCTAGTGCCTTCATTTCTGTTCTGGAATTTTCTTACATCCCTAAAGTTTTTAAAAGGTGTCTGCACAATTAGGAAAAAAACCAAACCAAACCAAACCAAAACAAACAAACAAACAAAACCACACCCCAAAACCCAAAGCAGATAAACAAAAACCCACTAACCAACCAAACAAAACACCTTTGTTTGCAGTGCACTTGCAGTGTGACAGGATCAGCTGAAAACTTCTGGTTCCATTTCTGCACCAACACAAGCGATTCACAAAAGCAACACACGTGACCCCCTTCCTGGCAGCCCAAATCAGTGAGAACTCAGGCAAACTCACGGAAATTTTCTGGAGTTTTTTGGAAGTTCAAGATGCTTCCAACACGCCGTGGGGCACAGCCACCACCTGTGAGCACAGAGCTTACAAATCCCTCCTCTTTGAGGAGGGCTGTGTGACAACACGGGCCCAACACCAGCGCACTGGGGCTGTGACCACAACTCACCAACAGCTCCAGGTCAGCAGCTGGTAATGCTGGACTTCATTCCCCTCCTAGAAGAACTTCCCAATAAAGAATCTTCATGTTTTCTTTTGAACCACTTTTCCCACAAAACAGTCCTCCCAAACTTTTCTCCTCCTTTGAAGTTTCCTTTGCTGTTTCAACTACACTGGACAGGCACTTGTTTACTGAATTCACTCTCCACTGTGAGCTCAAGTTTCCTAGTGCAGTTATCCTCCTCTAACCATCCTCAGTCTCTCACCTTACATGCAAAAATGGTTCTGGTTAAGGCTGAGACAAAGAACAACCTTTGTTTATTTTATTCCATATTTGCCCAACATCTGCTCTAAGGGGGTATAAGCCCATGGTTGGGATTCTTAGACAACACAGTAATGCACGTTATCGACATGCTGAAATTCCTTAGGACATAGCAAACCATCTTCCTTTGACACAAATTCTCAGCCCTTTGCTATTGGGCAGCTTCAGGGTTTTTTTCAGTCCTGCACAAAAGTATTTTTGCGTGTTTCTGCCATGACAATTGTCGACAAAAGAAAATCTGTCAACAGAGAGCACGAGAGGAGAAAAACCTTACAGCTCACTTTGGGTCTCCACGTTCGGAACCAAAGTTAGGGGCAGTTGAGTTCTCTAGGCCTTACAGTTAAAAAGAAAGAATCTCATTAAATGTAAAAATTAAAGACGCTTTAGAAAAGGAAATGCTAATTGTGAACCAGCTGGGGTTTTCTTTTTCAGAGGCTCAGGCACAGTACAGCATTCTTCAGCGAGATGATGCAATGGTCTCTCAAAGACTGTCAGTGCCCAGAGGAAAAAAGGCTGGCACTGTTCTCCAAATGTGTTTACTTCCCTGCAGGCATTGTTTCCTTGCTTGTGTCAAATAGTTTATTGAGCACAGCTAATCAATGCTTCCGCTGACAAGAAAATTGGAACACTTTATATAGGAAGTGAGTGTTGAAGGGCAAATTTCCCAGAATTGTGGGCCTCATCCACAGGGGTATCCTGAGTGAGAAATGAAAATTTGAGAAGACAATGACATTTAATACAGCTACAGGTTTTTTTGGCTAATCAGACACCTCTGCTGCTGTGCCCCCCTTGGACACTTCATCTGTACTATCCTTTGGTGGTGGTCTACTCAAATGGAACAGGGATTTTCAACCACCATTTTACTTTTCTGGGACAAAGCTTTCCACTCAGATGCATTCCTTCTGCATCCTGCCATTGCAGCCACCTATTTTCTACTTAGAGGTTCATGCCTTGTTTGTTAGCCCTGTTCCACTGACAAAATCATTTCATGTCCATATGACATTTCTTCTCCAGACCATCTTCTAACCACCTGGCCAACCTGCTGCTTTGAAGTGTACCTTTATTTCATTCACCTCAATTCTGGGCATAATTTTTGCTTCCCTTGGGAAAAGGTCCCGTGTGGAAATTTAACTGTACATAAATGACACAGAAATAACATCCCAGTGACAATTCCTTTTACAAGAGAAACATATTCTGGACCAAAACATAAATTAAACTCATTCTAAATGTGACCTTCCTCATGTTGACAGTCACCTCCAGCACAGCTTACCTGAACCTGGTCAAGGCAACAGATCACTGGAGTGAAAAAGTCACGTGAATTCTCCTTGGGTTTGTCTCTTGGCAGTGCAGATCTTTCAGAGGAACAGCTCTTACCTGTAGCAAAGCCCATTTAGATGCTTTCAAGTGTGGATCTTTTCTGAGAGACACTATCTCATGGTTCCTCAGGGACCACTCCCACCCACTGGAGACTAGGCATCCCTTTGGAAAACACAATAGCTCCACATGGATGTGACATTAGGGAACTGTTCAGCACATTTTAATCTCTTCCAGCTGAAAAAGAGGGAACTGCTATGAAACCAACCTCATTGCAGACCAGTGTTGAGGAACCATGGGGTTAAGCATTGCTCCTTCAGGTGTTTTCTCAGCTGAATCAGCCCAGTTTCTTTACCACAGTCAGAAATCCAATGCTTTTTCAAGTCCGTGGTGGCTTTTTTCGTAAACACAGGAGCTGTCCAAGAGAGGCCTTGGTGAAAACATCGATCTCCAGGTCATGCAGCTGCCAGTGGTTTACCAAAAAGCAAAGGAGCAAGTCATCAAGATATGGACGACTCTTCAGCCACTGGTGAGTAATGAGAAAGTTACACAGTTTCCTCCCTTCATTTATGAATATGAGGAGATCTTGAAAAAAATCTCCAAGAGAGTATTGCAAAACATCAAACAAATCTGGAAAGTGACTATTGAAACTGTGATCAAGGTTACAACCCCAAATTTGGAGCACACACTAATTAGCATCCTCTTTTGACCCCATGCCATTTAAAAAGCATAAGTGATGCTGAACAAAGGAAAGGAAAAAAAAAATCTACCATAAGCTGCAAAAAAGGTACAGCAGCTCTGCAGTGCTGAGCTGAATAGACACAACAAAAACTGCAGCATAATTTGGTTCTCATTTATATTCTCTTATCAAAGTCTTCTTTAGACATGAGCAAGACTCCTCACCTTGAAGCTAGTGATTCACATAACGCTTGGCACTTTGGCATTACATGTTTGTAAAAAACAGGTCTCACTTTTAATTTCCTGTTGCTCACTCTGGTGGGAAAAAACCCCCCAGCTTACTGTTCACGTTGGGCTGGCTTCATCCACCACAGTCATCATCCTGGAGCAGTGTGGGAAGAACAAAGGCTACCAAGACAGGGATGCTTGTGGTTTTCACCCAGAAGGTGCCTGCTGCGTGCTAGATGGCCCAGAAAAGATTGAATCTACAATTAATATGAAGACTCTCTGGAAAAACGTTTCAGTGGAAGGGATTGATATCATCTTCTCCAGAGATGCAGGGAGGTAAACACCGTGTATCAGGGGCTCGGGGGAACGGCAGGAGCAACTCAGTCAGCTCCACCTTGGACAGTCTTTGCCTTGACTTTCCTTCCAAACAAAATCACTTTGAAGCAAAGTCTTCAGAGGGGCACAAGTATGAAAACTGCCACGAATTTAAATTTTATGTAAAGCAGCTTTCATGAAATGCTACAGCCAGTAGATATTTTTCCATGGATTTGTAAATTCCAAAAGAAACAAGTTCCAACGTAGCACACCCTGTGATGAACAACCCCAGTAAACCTCAGCTATTAAGAGAGACTGAAAGCAATACCGACTGGTAGCAGATTTTAATCTATTTCTTCTCAGCTGGGAGGGACAGAAAATGTAAATACATACACTGGAGAACAACAATTACAGGTACCTTTAGAATCAGGTCTGTGATCTTATTATGTGTTCCAGTAGTACTGGAGCAATTTTCTACTGTGCTAGTCTTCATAGAAAAGAAAAAAAAAGTAGGTTTATTTTTAAATAAAAATCAGTTAATCTTGCCCCTTAAATTCAGGATTTGCACCTGCAAGTTAAAAGATGGGGTGATAAAGACAAAACCCCTCCAGACTGAGAGATTCTGTGCCTTACACATAAAACTGTGTTACATGGTTGTAGTTTCCAGCAGGGTGTGTTACCTTTCCCACCCCACAAGAATGCCTGTCTTGTGATTTTTTTATTTAAAGTTCTTTGTGGGTGGGTGTCTGAGAAACCAAACCATCAGATAAGGAACATTTGTTTCTCAAACTTGGTTTATTTCAGCATTTCCTTTATTCACTAAGCAAATATGTTCTTAATAATTTCATAAACCAGATCTGGTTTGGCTACTTAGAATATTTAAATTTAATCAAAGTTTACTGAGCCTTATTTCAGGTTTCTGGTTTTGTTTTGTTTTTAATATTGCAGGTACATCTGTGATTACACCTACTACACTTCTCTGTATTATGGCAATGGAAGAGCAGCTTTCATCCATGTGCCTCCATTATCCAAGTCAGTAACAGCAGACTTTCTAGGAAAAGCATTACAGACCATTATCTTGGCAATGTTAGAACAGTGTGGGGTGGATCATATAGGAAAAAAAAAAAGATGATTTCTTAGAAAGCAATTCCCTACTTCTTAAATGAAGCAAATCTAAAGATTATTTAAAACCTTCACACAAAAGGATTTTATAGCCCATGTTATTTTCAGTGAAATTTCCTTGCAAAACCCAAACAACTGTTTACATCTCTGAGAAAAAAGCTCGAGGGGAAAAACCAAGTAACCGGCAGTTTGTCTTGCTAAAAATAAGGTTGTTTCAGACTTCAGAAAGTGTGAAACTGGATTTCAAACATTTTAGATGCCTAATCCTAGTTCTGTTGGTTATAAAGACATTAACAAAGACTTGCTGAACCGAGGTGGGCTCTCAGAGCTGTAAGGACTCAGCACTGGATGGATGGAACAGAGATCCCCCCAAGCCCATCCCAGTCCAGCTGAAGTGCCCACACAGAACATGTGGTATGGGAGAAACAGGGGTCCTGGTATGTGAAGTTCTACAATTCCCCCTCCCTGACCTGCTGTAAATGCTGCTTTCCCCATCAGCAATGGGCTCTGAGCCCAGGGGGACTTCCAAGTACAGAGAAAACTGGAGTCCAGCAGGATCTGGAATGCTCTTGGTAATTTCAGTTTCAGCCTGAAACCACCACTAACCCCAAATTCTCAGTGCCTGTCCCAAAGAAAAACACCACAGTCCTTCCACAGAGCACAGCCCAAAAACAAGTTTTCAGCAGGACAGGTCATGGCTATTCAGGGACTGACACATCAAAATCCAACAGCCAACCTGTCCCAGGAAAGGCAATCCTGAAGCAGTGGGAAGGGCACATGTTACTGACAAAACAGGCACCAAATGAGATCCCACGTGGTAAAACTTGGGATCAGACCCCTCCACATCCCAAACAGCTCCACACAGAATTGCTGTGCCATGGAAGCTGGGTACCACAGGGGGTTACAGCACTGCCCCTCAGCACACAGGGAACACCCACACACACCCCCTCCTCCACAATCCTGCTACTGCCAGGATACAGGGATGAGATGCAGTTAGCTGGGATTCTTCTAAATCAGTCATTAGAACAGGGCAGCAGCAGCTTCATCTGTACACCTGGGATTTCTCCAGGGAAACAAAAGCCTGCTCCTCAAGCATCACGTCAGTACAACGGACAAGAGACAAATGGAACAGCACAGGCAGCTGATGAGGCTTTGGGCCACCATCGTGCCTTGTTTTAGTCAACACGCTGATGACAAGAGCCTGAGGAACTGGACCTGCCAAGAGAATCCCAGTTTTCTCCCCACTGTCTTTCCCAATGCCGCTGCAGAAAGCTGATAACCAGGTGGCTGCCTGAATGCCTCACCTGTGGATTGCTGCGTGGGTAAAAAGTGGATTTTCCTCAAATAACAAACAATGCTCACCTTATTCAGAGGAATCACCCTGCTAAACACTGCTCAAATCTCACCAAGAAGGCTCCACACACCCTCAGTGCCACTGCACGACAATACTTCTGATTCCAACTCAGCAATGGCAGTACTGACCCCTACTAAAATATACTCAGAGTAGCTCAATTCAACGCAGCTGAAAAGAAAACCAGAGAAACTTTACTCTTAGTTTTCTAACCTGTACTTGCTTTCTGGAAGGAGCAACAAATTCAGAAACAGGTAAATGCATACAGAATTCTTTTATTTAACTTAAATCATGTAGTACTGAAACTACTAGAAAAAAGCAGAGTAAGAGAAACTAAAGGAGCCTTAGCTTCAGCCATTCAAAATAGACAAAGTTTCTTCTTTTCATAATGTAAAGAATCCCGAGTATATCGCAATAACAGGAATAAATTCTTACAACAGAATATACAAAAACATTTTGAATTTTTTTTTTATCTACTGATTCATTTTAATATAAACACAGGAATTTCTTTAGGAATAATTTATACACAGCAAGTCTTTTTATGTAATAAATTGGCCATGTTATTGTTTAATTTTCTCTTAAAAAAATTTAAACAAGAAAAATTGGAAAATGTATTTGCAACTGCATCCATTCCTTAGCACTTTCTAGTTTTGTTTTTGTCCCAGAGGTAGACAAACTCTGGCCAATCCTTTCATCTCAAACCTCACTGGTTCAGAAAACAGAAGGTGTCCCTGTCCACGGCAGAGGGGTTGGATCTTCAATATCCTTAAATAAAAATAAATAGGGACCCTGCCTTGCTCATTTCAACCAAAGCTTCCAATGGTCCTCAACAGCTTTAGAGGCTGCACACAAACTTTTAAAGTGATAAGAGATTTTCAAAGAGTTCTTCAACAGCAGTTATGAAAACCATCTTCCCTCTTTCTCTCACACAGTCACTTCCTTCAAATCACATGGAGCAGAGGTGCTGAACAGCACAGGTGAGCCTGGGGAGCAGCAAACCTGTTCTGTTTCCCCGACCAGTGAGGTTCTTGTAATCCAAAAGGTAACTGCCCTAGACAGTAAAGTGAAATGACCAGGTAAGATGATCCCACCCCAACCAGAGGGCTCTGGAAGACCAGGATACTGAAGATACAGAACATTTTCCCAACTCCTTTACTCACTCGCTGTATGGTGGGACACAAAGCTTGGGTGGGAAGGGGGAGAGGAACAAGCCATGAGCTGGACAAGTCAGCGATCCTTTTTGGCATATTGTAAAGCTAACTAGTAAACTGGTACCATGGAAAAACTGATCACAGACAGACACACCCACACACAGACACAGAAAAGTGCCCTTAAATTATATTTTAGGCATTTATAAACTACAAACATTTTATAAAATTATTCTATGTACTTACAAAATGCAATGAAACATTTAATTAGTTCTTGTAAACCAGATCTTCGTCAACTGACTACCCGTAATCTACTGGACTTAAAGCCCTATTGAAAATGCTAATTAATGGTTACTAATCAACAGAACGCATACCAAAAAAAATATATGAGCACACACGCAAATGCACACACACAAACTAGGGAAGTTCTAAGGTACTTGCAGAACAGACCAGCTGTAGGTGAGACAGATCCATACAGACCGATGACAACCACTGCCCTGCTCCTGGGAACGAATTCCCCGCTCCAGCTGCCAAGTCCGGAGGTTTACGTACAAGTACCAACGATCAGAACGGGGACACCTGAGCTCCGGTGTTGTCCCACAGATTAAGCTCAGGAAAACCACCTCAAGCTTCTGCCAAGCCCTGTGTCTCTAGATCCCCATTGCCATGTCCTGTTTTCAGGTGTCTCCCCACAAACACATCTCCGTGCTGACTGACCCAGCTGCTTGAGGTCAGGGGCTGTTCAGCACCTCTGAGCAGCAGCTCTCTGAACTGAGGTGTCCTTCCTGCCTACTTGAGTTCTGTATCTTCAGCACCCCTGGCCACTTGGGTTGTTTCTACACATTGTTCTCCAATCCTTGTCTGCACATCTACTCATGGGTTAAGTTGCAATATCTGGCTTTATCACTGGTTAGTAAGGAGTGGATCCCTTGCACCTTCCTCCACTGTTGTTCAGCCCAGTGATTGAATACACGGTTGACAAACAAAATAAAGAAAACAGGAAACAAGTGTTACTTGTACTAATGGAATGAAAAGGGTTTAAATATATATATCTATATTATAGATATACATATGTAGGTATATATATATGTATATATAGATATATATGTATGGAGTTACACCAACAATAGGAGTGTTGTTCACTTAGTCTCGGATTGCACCGAGCACCCCTCAGCAGATCCCAGAGGACCTGACAGCAGCTCCCTCTGGTCACCAGTCATCCTGGGCAAACTGGGCCTTCTTTTTGTTTTGAGACCAAGAGGAGCATCAGTGTGACCGTGCCTAGAACCACAGAGCACTTGGAGCCAGCTGGGAGGGGCAGAGGCATCGCGCTGACGGAGCCGCGGTGCCCGCGGGCTGGCCCGGCCCCACGCCTTCCACCGCGCTCGGCTGCTGCGCCTTTGTGTCATCCCCCAAAACAGCATCTGATTTACTCAGGAATCACGTTCCTTTGCAGCCAAAGCACCTCCTGTGCCCCCGAGAGCTCTGCAGTGCGGGGCAGGTGAGAGCCATGGCCAGGCCCTGCAGTCACAGCCGCCTGCTCCCGCAGCGACGCCAACTCCTTATCCCACTGCATCCAAACATCTCGGTACCATCCGGCAAAACGCTGGGTTTCAGGGCTGGGTGGGCTTTTGTTTTCAATTTATAAACAAACTGGATTACTTGAACTTTATTCAAACATAGCTGAAGTTCTAAATAAATTTTCCATACCAGACAAGCCAGTGGTCTCAGGGAAGAACAACATTACAAACCATATTATGACTCTATCAAGCCAACATTAATTCTCAGTTGTTCACATGCACAAACAACTCGATTTACTGTCCAAGGGAAGTCTGCATGAAAAACCCATGTGAATAAAGCTATTCAAAATGCACAAAACACAACAAAAAAAACCTATGGAAACAAACAGAACGAAAAAGGAATTAAGCTTGAATTGCAAACACAGAACGCAATGGTATCATGAAGGTGGTTTGGTCCAGGAGAGCTGACTGCCATCACACACATGTATGTGAGGCCCTGTGACTGTCTTCTACTGAAGTGCTTTTTGAAATGTTTCTCGTGATGCTACGCCATTAGTGTTTCTTCCTAATGCATTGTAAAACCACCTACATACAATTCTACAAACCAGTAACTCGGACAGTTTTAACAAAACCCTCCCAGCCAGCTGAAAGATCTGAGGATCTCCAGTTGTGGTAATCAATATGTGCAAGGGAGGGGAACAACCACTGCACCCAAAGGTCACTGGAACATAATCAAACATGGAAAACCAAACCCATCTAGTGAAAACTTCCAATTTTGCTGGTTTCTCAGGACTAGGGAGAAATGCTCCCTCCAAAGACAAACTCTCAGAATTAACCACAGCACTGTGTATCCAAGAGGCCGTGTACAACTCCAAGCACCACATTACTCAGATACCACAACCAACACCTGCAGGAACAGCTGCCAGAGCTGGAAAAAGGGAAACATTATACATCAAATTGATGGCAAGCTCGTGTTAGTCCTGTGTGCTTGTAAACCAGTTACACGCTGTCAGAGGGCAGTTAAGATTTGATGGCTGGTCCATCAGAATCCACAGTTATAAGGCATATAAACAGGGGAAGAAAAGGGAACTGACTTTTTACTGGCGCGTTAAAAGAAATCAATTCAATATTAGTTTGGGGGAAAAAAATTTAAAAAAAAAAAAAAAATCAGTGCTCTCATCAAACAGAAGCAGCAAAGACCCAAAGCTGTAAACTCATCTAGCAGGATCATCAGGCAGCCTGTGACAGGTTTTTTGGTCAAGAAAGCGATGCTATCGCTGTATGAGCCAATTTATTTTTGGGTTCTGATTCAGCCAAATGTCTTTTTGGTGCTTGTGACATCTGAGCAAGAACTGGCAGGAATGACTTAGCCCATTCTACAGGACAAACAGAAAGACCATTCCCTTTAGTATTTCTTCTGGACCTCCAAACATTGTAAACAGTTGATTTCTGTAACAGATTTCAGCAAATACTCACAATTTGAAGTCCCCGTATCAGGTCACCTACACTTCCACTCCTCCAGACACGCAGCGTTTTGCTGCTGACCCCCGGACTGCTGTGACAGCACATTAAAAAGCCTCTGTGTTTCCTTACAGAATGGTCACCCTAAGACAGACAGCTCTTGGATTTCTCCTCACAATAACAAATCTGATGCAAAAAATTGGAGAAACCCCTTGGAATTGCAGTAAATATTCTGAAGTGACCCTTTGTGACAGGCAGTGATTGTTCCCCTCCAGAA